TCATAGCAAAGGGAGAAGACTGTCAAAGCTTTTGATATTTTGGCCACATAATGTTGTCTCTGGTTGTGCAGATGAGATGCTGTGCATTTGGGCTTGAGCTTGGGCTTGTGCTTATGAGAGGACCAGGGGGAGGCACAGCAATGATGTTGTTAGGATTAAATGACAACCAGACTTCTGTTATTTCTGGAAGGTATTTTTCCATGACTCAAAGAGTGGGAGGAGGGGGAAAGTTCCTTGCTGCTGAGATATTTGGCTCTTGGAGAAGGTCCGGAAGAGCTACCTTGGTAGTCAGAGGAAGGTTTGTATTTTCTCAATATTAACATGACTCAGAATCAACGTGGAAAAAATTTAAGTATGCAAACTACAAGGAAGAAAATCAAAATTACCTGCTGTTTCTCCACCCAGAGAGACCCCTGATTAGTGACTTTTCTCCTAAACAGACAGGCGCATATACCTTTTATTTTTTGCAACATTTGAATGATATGAACATGTAATTTTGTGTCTGGCTCTTTTGCCTGTCTGGGACATGAGCAGCTGCCTATGGCTATGGGGAGAAGAAAAGCTTACTTTCCTCTAGCGCTCTGTGTTGCAGCTGTGCACTGCCTACTGGTTGTAGCATGAACAGATGAATACAGCATCAGGGGCTCCATCCAGGGCCCTGGGGTGGCCCCACACAGGGGCCTGAGCACGCAGAGGTGGGGTGGAGAGTGGTGGGCCGATGGGGGCTCCCCAAAGTCCCCCTCCTCCCCAGGGCCTCCCACCCTGTGCAGCTCCAGCTCCTTGGAGCTGTCACTTCCAACATGTTATTTTCCCATCTCTCTAGATAGTCAGAACCACTGCCTGTTTAAGCCAGCAAAGGAGATGTCTCCTGCGATGCCAGGGCTGGGAAGCGGCGGAACTGAAGATTGCCTCTTACTCCCCAGCCAGTGGAGGTGCAGCGGGTCTGCCTTGGGCTCAGGTGAAGTGTAATTGGAAGATGGTCTCGCCACATTCATGCTCTCCTCACCTGGGACTAGGAATCAGAAAGGCCCACAGCCTGCCCCACCTTGGAGCTGAGGCAGCCTCCATCCCATCGGGTCACCCCTGGTTTCTGCATTCTCCTCCGGCCACCTATGCAATCCAGAGGTGCAGAGGCCCCAGGCGAGGCGAGCCTGTCTTCGTTCTTAGGTGGACAGGAGGCATATTTCTTTCTCTCCAGAGCCTCAGAACGTCTCACAGAGGCATGGCGTCATCTCTGTCTTAAAACTTCCCAGACAAGGGGATCAGCCTCTCTTCTAGGGGGAAGTCAGGTTGTCCTCACAGGTGAAAGGCCTTGGCCTTGGGCTGCTGATGAGCAGAGCCTGGGGCATGTCAGTCCTCCCCTCCCAGCCCGATGAGCCCAGCAGAAGCAAAGGATGGAAGGAAGCTCGTCCCCCAGCTTTAGACTCAGCAATGTGCTCAGCCTCCTCTTTGGTCTTCGTGTACCTTTGGCGTAGACTTCAGAACTTCCTGAGAAGGCAGGAGTGAGCTGTGGGGAAAGGAACGACGTCTCTTTCTGGAGTCATTGCCAGCACTTGGGTCATGCAGGTCCTTCTCTGTGTCTCCTCCGACTGGAACACTCAACACGTCCTCTCAGCTGATAACAATATCTAACATTAATAAGTATAATGCTTCCCATATACGTGTGTGTGTGTGTATTACTTTTAAAAATGATTTGTTGTATATTTCATAAAAGAAGTAAAACTTCATAATAATCCTGAAATAAAGGTCAGTGGGATACATCAAATGAACTTATTTAATCTATTTATACGGTTTGACATATATGTAAATTAATAGAGCTAAAGAAAAGAATGGCAAGCATGGATCTCTTCAATAACTGTAGGAATCGTTCAGCACCATGCCAAAATATTGAACCCAAAGCCTTCAGTCCTAAAGTTTGTTATATGAGCTAGAACGTTATCATGATGATCATTTTCAGGCTTGCACAAGGAGAACACAGGTGTGCTGTGGTCGTGTTATCAACAGGAAAAAAATCACTTTGTGTGTGTGTGTGTTTGTGTGTGTGTGTGTTTGTGTGTGTGTGTGTTTGTGTGTGTGTGTGTTTGTGTGTGTGTGTGATAGAGTCTTGCTCTGTCGCCTAGGCTGGAGTGCAGTGTTGTGATCTTGGCTCACTGCAACCCTCTGCTTTCCGGCTTCAAATGATTCTCATACCTCAGACTCCCAAGTAGCTGGGATTACAGGCGTGCACCACCATGCTGGCTAATTTTTTTGTATTTTCAGTAGAGACAGGGTTTCGCCATGTTCGTCAGGCTGATCTTGAACTCCTGAGCTCAAGAGATCTGCCTGCCTCCATCTCCCAAAGTACTGGGGTTACAGGCATGAGCCATGGCGTCCGGCCCCAAGTTGTCTAATCATTTTTAGCTCAGGGACAGACAAATATTTACTTTCCTACTCAAAATTCATGGTAAGGTTAATTGAGTTCACAAATATTATTGATGGGGTAATAAAGAGTTTACCAGATACACAACTCAGACCATAGAGGGGTCTTCCATATGTAGCACAAGTGGCAAGAAAGGCAAATGGGGAAAGTTTACTATATCATAATACATTATATATGTATATGCTTGCTATGTATATTACATATGTAGTAATTCTATATAGTGCTTGCTACATGATTACTATACTCTTTTATATATCTGCCTACTATATATATGCTTACTATATATTACATGTCTATGGTAAGCACTATGGTAGTTGTGTAGTAAGCACTATAATAATGTGTATATGTATGATAAACACTATATATATATATATATATATATGGCACTATTGTAAGCACTTTGCAACTATTCATCTATTCAATTATCAATCTTCACAACAAACTATGAGTGGGTTCCATTATGATTCCATTTTAAGATGAAGAAACGGAGGCCCTGTGCCAGCTAGCTACATTTGCTCCCACAGATCCACTTGGCATGCTCCCCACCTCTGGCATGCTCTTCACTCCAGGAGCCAGGTCTAGCTAGACCACACAGACAAGCTTCTGTGTTCTGCACTTTTGGTTGGGTTTAGCCAGTGAGGAGCCTCATCAGGAGAATGGAGGGAGAGAGGGGAGAGTGAGTATGTGCACCTGTTACCCTGGCTTCCTCCCTACAAGATGACAATGACTGTCTGGGTTCCCCCACCTGAGGACATGGCTGCTTTCAGAATAAGGCTCTGCAGTCTCTCTATCCCTGTGTTCCAGAAGGCTCAGTGCTGGGGACAACTCTAACACTGCTGGCCCTGTGTCCCTGCACTGGCGCCTGTTTTCCCCACGCTCCGCCCACATCTTTGAAATGATCATTTTATAAATACTCCCTCCAGTGACCCTAATTTGGTGTTCCATCTGTTTCCTACTGAAACTCTGACTGATAAGGCCACTATGGGCTTTAACTCATTTGCACGAGATCATCCAGCCAGGAAGGGACAGAGCTGGGGTCTGAACCCAGGCAGTCTGTCCTGGTGTCTGTGCTTCTAACTGCTGCCCGAACCTCTCTGTGGAAAGAGCACTGGTCAGGAACCAGGGTGCTGGTTTGTGCTCTTCTGCCAACTGGCCATGCAGCTTTGAGCAAATAACGAGATCTCAGTTTCTGTTTCTCAGGCATACAATGAGGTGGTTGTAGTTCCTTTCTGTTCTAACACATGGCTTCCCAAATTCCAGCTGTAAGTCAGTCTCTTGCAACCCTGCGTTTCCTAGGGCCTTTCTTTGCTATTAGTTGTCACTGTGAAAGCACAAGTTACACTTAACTCCCTAAAACAACTGAGGACACAATTTGCAGGGGCAGTGTTGTACTAAATAAAGCTGTGCTCCATTGTGAAGGTGTTCCGCCTCAGGAAACTGTTCCTTTCTCATTCGAGTTCAAATGTGGTCCCAATTTGCTTGTCTTGTTTATGTATGCTCCTTCCCTCTGAACTCCATTTAATTAAATAACCAAAAAAAAAAAAAAAAAAAAAGCCGTATTCACTGTGAGTTGCCGTCTTCATTCAGAAAAATGCTGAGCACACCAAAAGCCAGCAAAGTTCTTGTTTTTGCAACTCAGTGAAGCCTGCTTTCTTTTTCATGAGCACCAAATGACTGCATGCATGCCAACCACGGAAATTAGGATTTGGTTTTGGTTGGCAAAAATGGTCATTGACCTGAACCAAATGTCAGTTTTACTCTAGGGGCAAGAATTTTGTGATTGAAGAATACCGTTCAGGGGTAGGTTCTGCCCATCAGTTCCCCAGGGAGCTGGGCACAGTGGGTTGGAACAAATAGAAAGAGTGAGGGAGGCTTGAATGGGACTCAAGGGGACACAGTGTTGGGGCACACCACATGGGAGATGGTGAACACAGCTTGGAGAGATCTTCTGGATGCAGCCACCACAAAGGAGGATAACTCACAAGTAATCCTGCTGCCGCCACCCCTAGCCTAACACCAAGGCAGGGGAAGGCTGAGAGACACAGGATTGATAGCATTTATTTAATGTGAAAAATGTTGGAGGGTCTTAGTGGACCACAAGTTCACGAAGTTGGTGATCCTTCAAGACAAAGAGGTCAAGGGTCCAAAAACTTAACGTTTTAATCCAAAGTTATAAAACTTGGGCAAAGCCACGGCTCAAACTCAGACTTTCTTTCTGTAAAGTCCATGCTCATTCTTTTATATTGTAGGTTCCCAGACCTGGAGAATTGAAAATATGTGTAGATTCTCAGGCCCCATTCCTGACCTCTTGAATCAGAAAATTCACAAGGGTAGCTTAGGAATCAATATTTTTGCTTTGGAATGCATCAAAAGGATATAATGTTGGGATTAGCACCTAAATAATCCGGGAATGGGCGGAGTACATGGGGCCCCAGTGGAAACTAGAGTGGCCACTGGTTGATAATGGCCAAAACTGAGTGATAAGCACATCAGGTTAATTTCACTATTTTCTCTACTTAATAGGCATTGCAGGAGGGACTGAGTAAAGTGTCTCTAAAAGGGACATAAGTGTTATCTTTTTCCCAAACAGTCAGCAGAGCTGTAGCCATCAAGCATTATGCAATGTGGGAAGCAAAGTGCTGGAAGAATCTTGAAAAGCTGAATCTCCCCGCTGAATGCTGGCATCATCACCATAACCACTCTTTTCAAGAGGATCATCTGTTTGGGGCAGGATTTGCTCTTCTCCTGGGCTTATACTAAATAACCAGCAGAGGGAAACACACAAGGAAGTTTGGCACATTGGATGTTTTCTCAGGCTCAGCACAACCAGCTCCACCTGCTTAACGTCACACGAAGAGAGTCAACACTGCAGCACCGGACACAGGCAGGGGCCAGCCACCCTGGTGTTGGCAAGCAGCCCACCCAGGAGACAGAACTCCAGGTCAGCCTGGCAGTTCACATCATGTGCGGGGACAGCGGGTAGCAGTGGCAGCAGAGCGCACAAACACGCTGGCTTTGGGGAGATGTAGACCTAGCACCAAGTCTGATTTGGTCATTGCTGTGGGCAGGTTGTCAAACTTCTGGGATCCTCCGTTTTCTTATCTGTAAAATGAAAATAATAATACAGTTGAGCATCCCCACTCTGGAAATCCAAATCCAAAATGCTCCAAAATCCAAAACTTTTTGAGCATCAACATGACACCACCAGTGGAAAATTCCAGCCTGGCTTCATGCGACAGGTTACAGTCACAACTTTGTTTCATGCGCTAAAGTATTTAACATATTACATAAAATCACTTTTGGGCTGTGTGCTGCATATGAGGTGTATACGAAACACAAATGAATTTCATGTTTAGACTTCAGTCCCATCCCCAAGATATCTCATTATGTATATGCAAATATTCCAAAATCTGAAAAAAATCCAAAACACTCGTGGACCCAAGCACGCCAGACAAGGGATATTCCACTTGTAATACTGCTGGGGTCCTGGCTTGGGAGGATTTCTGGAGGTGGTGCACGGGAAGCGTTTAGCAGAGGGTCTCATGCATGAGGAATGGGAGTTATTCTTCTTATGGAATCTGCTCTCTGGCTCTCCAGCCTCCTTGGAGCGGAGGCTGCCCAGTGTCTGCCTGCAGCCCCGTCTTCCACTTCAATGTGCTCCAGCTCCAGTGTGCTCCAGCGGACTCTGGGGCCCAGAGCTGCATCTCTTTGCCTGAAGCCTTTCTCCGTAGCTACAGAAGGTCATTCTGCCCCAAGGCAAGGCAGTCCAGGAGGAGAATTCACGACAGAAGCAGTCTTTGAATCCTGCACGGCAACACTGAAGCCTCTCCCACCCACAACGTGTGTGTTTTCTGCAGCCTCCCAGCTCCCTGTGGCATTAGGCTCCCATTACCCACAGCCACGGCTGCTGTGATAACACACCCTGTAATGACCGCATCCCCTTTCCTGTCTCATTTCACTACTCCCCTAATGATGTTTTCCTTCACCTCCCAAAGAAGCAACGTGTGCTTGAGCCCTTTCCCAGGGATCGCTTCTGGGGGTAACTCAAACTAAGGCACTGCCCCCTACCCTCCACGTTCTCCTGATTTCTTCAGTATCTCAGGCTCCTCACTCAAGCTGACTTCAGATCTCACGTCTCCCTCCTCCTGTCCTTTTGGTGGTGGCCGCTGTGTGCCATGGCCAGATATCCAGTGGAGGCCCCTCATCACAGCTGTGGTGGATGTGAACTGCGTGCCCCTGCCTTAGGTGCAGCCTGAGTGGGGTCCTACCCCAGAGTCTAAAGCCTCTGAGGTGCTCCCCTGCATTCCTGCAGGTAGGCTGTGTTTCTTGAAGAAATGCAGAATATGCTTCTTTCCCTCAGCTCTGTCATCTGGATCCTAAAGCAGCCTACAAAGCAGTCACTTGGACCCATCCCAGACCAGCCCTACAGTCTCCTGTGGTGCCAGTTGGCTCAACAACACATCTTTATTTGCCACATCCACCTCCCAAATAAATCACTGTGCTCAAATCTTTGCCTTGGGATCTGCTTTGGGGGTCCCCCAAACTGATACAGCTGGTGTTTGAAGCAGTCTTGGTAGCAGAGTTTCGTAGGATTCTGCTCTTGGATCTTTTGCTGCTCAGAGGGCAACAAGGCCCCAGTTCTTGGTGGTAAGTGGGTGGTGATGACCCCTTGGCATACATCATAACTGTTAAGAATGTCTTCACTTGGTGAATAAGCTACTGCAGCTCTACCCAGTAAGCAGCCAGCATGCCAGGTGGATGCAGGTCTTTGGTATACTGCTCTCTGACACTGTGGCTAGGACTTCCCACCTACCACATTTCTGCTCTGCCAGTGGCTCCCAGTTAGGCTCTGGTGGGGCGGGGGGAGGGGGAATGGGAAGCTGGAGGAAAACTGGAGGCTAGACAAGAAAGAAGGGACATGATCCTTCTCGCCTCCTCACTTCGTCTAGTGTCAGGCTCATGCCAGCAATGATACACCACCTTTGCAGTTACCACACTTGGTTCCAGTAGCAACAATTGGTTCCAGTTAATGGCTGTGCCCAAACCAGCTTCATGGCACCCCTCAGGGATACAAGCACCAGTTAGCTGGTGCCCTCTACTTAGACAAAACTCTTTCCTGTGTGCCCCCCCCCCCAGTACTGGGGTGATAGCTGCTTCCTGCCGTTACCACATCTGTGATACCTCAGTGAGGGTGGCCAGCAGTCCTGGTCTGCCTGAGACTAAAGTTTTTCCCAGAGCACAGTGCTTTAAGTGCTAAAACTAGAACAGTCCTGGGCAAACCGGGATGGTTGTTCACCCTATCTCAATGTGCCCATTTAGACCTGTCTGGTTCCTCAATTCTTGGTACTAAATTCTCTCTGTAAAAATAACTGATGTATTTTAAAACTCCTGTCTGGAGCCTGGTTGATACAGGAAGAAGTGCAGGTGCTAGAGGATGCACCAGCTTGTGCAATAATATCACTAGTATTTGAGAGCTATGGTGGTGACAGCATATACAAGTGCGGTGGAGATGACTGGGGATTGTTAGGTGCATCAATGCCCTGAAGGGGGAGAATAGCCCAGCCTGAGTCAGCTAACAATCAAAGAAAGCACAAAATTAGAAGCCAGAAAACCTCTATGGCAGCATGTAACACCTACAGCCAGTCCTAATGCACTGCCAAGAGAGTGCCTTACAGCTTGCAAACGATAATGACCTCCTGTTAATGCCAGAGCTGCCTTGGCAGCAGAAAGGGTAGAATGTCTAGCAAGGTAGGCATACAAAAATAGATTTATTACGTAAGACCAGAGAATCTACCAATTAACCAGGCTCTGTAACTGTATGGCACAGCCTGCCGAAAATTAAGCTTATGATCTGATAAAAGAATAGCAAAGTCTGAATTAATGGCTCCAGCAAATGTTCTATGCCAAAGTCAAGCAGCTGATAAGGAGGAGGGGACCTGAGGACCTGAAATGAGGACTTTCAGGTAGATATGCTTCAGAACCTTCAATCCTCAGATTCCCTGGAACTCTCTAGGCTTGCAGAAGTGGCCCACTTCCCTTGTAGAGAGAAAAGCCTTCCCTTATCCCAAGACCACACAAAGTCCTCACTCAAGGCAGAGGCTTTCTGAGATGATGAGTGCCCTTCTCAAGATTTCCTCCATCAGCCCTCACAGCTTCTAGACCAGGGGTCAGCAGACTTCTTTTGTAAAGAGACAGCAAAAAATTTAGGCTTTGTGGTTTGTACAGTGTTTGCCATAATGATTCAACTCTTCCAGTGTATCACAAAGGCATAGACAATATGTAAATGAATGGGTCTTTCAATAAAACTTTATTTACAAAAACAGACAATATTTGACACATGGGCCATAGTTTGCCAATCCCTGTTTAGGCCAATAATTGGTACATACCTCAGAATGTTAGATGAGAGAAGTACTGTCATTGTTTCAGAAAGGGATGTAGCATCTAGCTAATATGTACATCTAGCTAACATGACCCTGGAAGACATGTTTGGGGCTGCATTTTGAGTATGCTGGACTGAAGGAGAGTTTATGGATATGTGGGCTATCTCCTGTGTCTCAGGATGCAGTATCCTGGCAAGAACACCTAAAACCAGTTCTGATGCACTGCCAAGATAGTGCCTTACAGCTTGCAAGCAATAATGACCTCTTGTTAATGCCAGAGCTGCCTTGGCAGCAGAAAGGGTAGAATGTCTAGCGAGGTAGGCATACAAAAATAGATTTATTGTGTAAGACCAGAGAATCTGCCAATTAACCAGGCTCTGGGAGAGCCCAGAGGGTTTGCTCTCCATTAGCAATATAAGGAATATGTCAGTTAGGGGGCCATCAACATTGTTGAGAAACTTCTGGTGATTGACCTTTCTAGGCTGCTATGGGTCTGGGCTCCCTCTTAGTGTCATTGGGTATGATGGGATTCAAGAACAGCACAGCACAGTTGGCAGCACTTACCCATCAAAGGCAAAGTAGACAAATGATTGTAACAGCAGCAAAGTTAGAAGGACAATCTGGGCTCTTATCTGCAGGAATCAGGGAGTAGCAACTAATAGACTGTGGTGTTCCTAGCAGTGAGACTGGAACATATTGTTTGAACTATGTAACTAAAGATCAAAAGCTGATGAGCAGAAGACTGATGTCAGCTGTTGCAATGAAAAATCTTGATCCTTTGCCCAGTTTCCAGACCTAAGCCACTTGTTAGACCCAGAGGCTGTATTGAAAGGGAGGCTGGGTACCCCTGAGAAATGACCTTGTATTGCCACATTAAGCATACACAGTAGTGATACCCCCTATCTATTACCAAAAAGATCTATGGGCATTTCTCCTGAGGACTCAGATCTTTGAAGAGCTGTGGACACAAGATCTGAGCTGAAGCTGATACCATGGGACTAGTGCCATCACAACACCCTCTGTTGATGTGAGGAAAGTCCTGGCTTCAAATCTGTCTCCTATTGAGGCCAATGGACCTATGCCCTAGCTGCTATTCATTTTCCTGGTCTCTGAGTTCATAATTGAAATAGACATACTTAACAGTGGGAGAACCTGTTATAAAATAAGAGCCATGATGCTATGAAATGCCTAGTGGATGTTCCAAAAAATTCCTCACCCCAGCCAAGACAGAAAATGAGAAATACTGTCTCTTTCTGGATTAAAATGCCACCCTCCAAGTCTCAAGGAAGGCAGACATTATGATGGTCCCCATCATATCCCTAAATAATTTGCTAGTCCCATCCCACAAAAATGAGATGGCGCATTGCAGATGAAGATGGACTACTGACAAATTAACCAAGTAGTAGCCACAATTACAAGTGCTGGAATAGATCAACACAACGTCTATCACTAAGTATAATAATCTGCCAGATGCATTCTCTCTCTCTCTCTCTCTTTGAGATAAGAGTGTCACTCTTTGCCCAGGCTGAAGTGCACTAGCATGATCTTGGCTTACTGCAACCTCTGCCTCCTGGGTTCAAGCAATTCTCGTGCCTCAGCCACCAGAGTAGCTGGGATTACAGGCACGTGCCACCATGTCTGGCTGATTTTTGTATTTTTAATAGAGACGGGGTTTCATCATGTTGGCCAGATTGGTCTCGAACTCCTGACCTCAGATGATCTACCCACCTCGGCCTCCCAACGTGCTGGGATTACAGGCATGAGCCACCAGGCCCAGCCATAGCAGACGCATTTTCTTAAATTTCTGTTAGGAGAGAGGATCAGAAGCAACTTGCCTTTACTAGGAATAGAAAACAACATACATTCACAGCATTGGCCTAGAGCTCTGTGAATTTCCTATTGTTTGTCAAAGTATAATTCAAAGGAGTTTGGTTGTCTAGATATTCTGCAGAACATTCTGTTAGTCCACCATATTGAGAACATCACGGTAAGGAAACCCAGTTAACAGGAAATCTAAGTATTCTGAATACCCTGGTAGGATTTATATGCATCAGAGCATAGGAGACACACTCTAAAATCTTCAGGGACCTGCTACTGTGGCAGTTGTTAGAGGTCCAGTGATTTGGGGCATTTCAGGATAGCCCCTCCAAGCCGTAAGACAAAGGCATAACACTTATTAGAACACTTCAGATTTTGAAGATAGCATATACCACACTGAGAAATACTATTCCAACTCATTTACTGGCTTCCAGTTTTGAATGAAACCCAGAGAATCTAAAAGCTTTCCTTCCTCAGTAAATCGACACCTTTGTCATCATGTAATGTTACTCTTGATCCCTTATATTAATTCTTTGTTCCAGAGTCTACTTTGTCTGATACTAACAAAATTACTCCAATATTCTTTTGATTGGTGATTTCATAATATATCATTTTCCATGCTTTTACTTTTAAATTTTTTCTTTATATTAAAAGTATATTTCTTGTAAACAGCATAGTTTTTTTAAAAAATTCAATACGACAATCTCTGCCTTTTAATTTGGGTGTTTAGACCATTTACATGTGATATATGTATGATATGGTTTGTATCAGTACAAATATTTATAATGGTAGATTTAAATCTACCACTTTGCTAGTTGTTTTCTATTAAACTCACATGCTTTTCATGGCCTTTTTCTTCTTTTTCTACCTGCTTTTCAGATTGAGCATTCTATGTTTTCATTTTAGCTCTATACTCAGTTTATTAGTTATACTATTCTTTTTATTTTTAGTTGCTTTAGAGTTTACTGTGTACATATTTGATTCATTACAGTATAACTTCAAATATTATGCCATTTCACAAAGTTCTTGTAAAGCAAGAACTTTACAAAGTATACTCCCATATGTTTTATTATTGTTGTCTTAAACTCTGGAGTAGAGTACTTTGTGAGCCTTTTTGCTTTAGGCCAGTGATAGGCACACTGATTTGTGATTGTGCCTATTCCAGCCTGCCACTGGTTATTGTAAATAAAGTTTTATTGGAATATAGCCATTTGCTTACATGGCAGCCTTCAGGCTACAATGGCAGAGTTGAATGGTTGCACTAGAGACCATGGGCCCACAAAGCCTAAGATATCTGCTATGTGGTCCTCTGTAGAAAGAAAGTTTATTAATCCCTGCAAATAGTCAACTATTTTTAAGGTAATTAATAATAGGCAAAAATGACCTTCATATTCACCATTTCTGAAGTTCATTTCTTTGTGTAGATCTAAGTTTCTGATTGGCATCATACTCCTGTCTGAAAAACTTCCTTTAATATTTCTTACAGGCCGGGCGCGGTGGCTCATGCCTGTAATCCCAGCACTTTGGGAGGCCGAGACGGGCGGATCACGAGGTCAGGAGATCGAGACCATCCTGGCTAACATGGTGAAATCCCATCTGTACTAAAAATACAAAAAATTAGCCGGGTGTGGTGGCGGGCACCTGTAGTCCCAGCTACATGGGAGGCTGAGGCAGGAGAATGGCGTGAACCCGGGAGGTGGAGCTTGCAGTGAGCCGAGATTGCACCACTGCACTCCAGCCTGGGTGACAGAGCGAGACTCCGTCTCAAAAAAAAAAAAAAAAATATATATATATATATATATATATATATATATATATATATATATATATATATATATATTTCTTACAGATGAGGGCTGCCAACAATGAGTTCTCTAAGCATTTATTTGCCTGAAAAAGTCTTTATTTCACATTTCACCTCCATTTAAAAATGTATATTTGTTAGGTGTGGAAATCTCTACTAACAGAAAATGTCTATCAAGACTTTAAAAGCCTTCCCTTGCCTTCTGGCTTCCACTGTTTCTGGCCTCTTCCAATCAACTGGCATTTTAGCTGACTTTGCCTTACCTGTTTGTAAGGTGTCTGTGCTGGTCTCCCCTGCTCTGACACTGATGAGCCTGCCCTCATGCTTTCTGTCTTTGAAGGGGCTTGTCCTTCTTTGGAATTCTAGTTGCTTAGTTGCCCTGTGATGTCAGTCCTCTGATGACTTCAAGGAACGTTATTATTTTCTACTTTATTTGTCATATTCTTATTGTTAGGGTAGAGGTGATACACTTTCTAACTCTCTACATAGACATGGAAATCAATCTAAGATTTTTAACAAAATAATTTAAGGCAGTGTTAAACAGTTTGGTCCCAATACAAACTGAGTTATTTAACTTATTCAAACATTTAAAATAGGATTTATAAATTTAATATATTTTATTTTCTTGTTTAGTTACTTCAATTGCCTGATGGCTAAACCAAACCTTTCCAGATTTCTTAGGTAATTTTCATAAAGTTAATGGATTACGATTATAAACAATGAATCCAGGTCTTTCTGAATGTTCCCATACTGTTTATAAACTTAAATAATTTCAAATTAAAAATCATGAGTTTAAATCACTTAATTTTAATATGAACCACAAAGTTGGTCTATTACTTGTATAGCCCCAAATTTCTTAAGTACTTCAAGAACATAGATACCAGAAATGAATAAAATACTTATGTCAAGAATTGTAGAGCCTGAGAGTTCACTCTGCTTTCCAACTAACAAGTTTCATCGATGCTGGCAAAAGACACGAGATCCTGGATCAGAGACAAAGAACTTTGTTGCCTCAATAGTAGTAGACAGAGTATCAGCATTTACACCAGTTCCTCAAGTCCCAGTTCTCATAAGGTGATATGAAGAGCCCAGGGACATCTTTACACACAATGGGTTACAGGAGAGGAACCCCGAACTTAGAGATCTGGAATCTTTTATAATAGGCAGTAAGTCCACTTGACCTTTACATTGGAGGCAGATGTTATTATATCAGACAACAAACCAACCTGCCCCTTGTTCTTGAAGGGCACCATCTCTGTCTTCCAGAGCTGCTCAGAAAAACACCCTCTGCTCACAAGACGTGCAGAAATACGAGAGACCCATGGAAAATAGTGTCTCAACACCATAACCACGAAATAATGTTACTATGAGTTGATTCCTCTTAAGTATTCTAAATTCTAATCCAGTGTTTGAAAGGTGTTCTCCTACTAAGAAAACAGTTGTCATTTCAAACAACTTTTGGATTATCTTCTCACACAACTTTTGTAGTTGTCCGTCCTAGCTGAGGAGTTTTTAAGACCAGCGGATTTCTGGCTGGAATTTTGTCTTGCTTCTTGTTAGTAACCTTGACTACCAGGCTGATCCAGTTTTACAGTCACTCTGCTAACATTCTCCAAACAGGGTGTTCTTCCTGCCTGTGTCACCTACTCTTAATGTTATACAGGATCTCATTCTGCGGATCTCCAGCTTGGCTGCCACACTCTGTGATTGGGTTCGGCACAGCTATTTACTTCTTTCTTCTATTTCAAGTTCTTTTCACACCATCCCTATCTTTTAGACCACAAACCTCGCAGTTATGTCTAACTTTACAGGTTCGACTGTTAAGAATATTTGATTCGATTCTTTCGTGGGATAAAAGAGGGTATCTTCTCACTTAATTCTCTCTTTCAGTTCTAGAAAGTGCTAAGCATACCAATTTGGCTGAGGGAAAGAGGAAATTCTTCCTGTGAAGGTCTCTGTCTCAGAGACATAACCATTATGGCAGCATCCCAGGTGCTGTGGCTGGGATGGTTCTGTCCACTCCAGAAGAACTATGGGCCCCTGGAAGGTGCTTCTCCTCAGCCTGCTGTGCACATCAGCGGCAGCCCCACCCCCACCCCAGGAGGACCTCCTGCCATGGAGGCTGAGTCCAGCCAGGAGTCCAACCAGCACCTGGATGTTTACCTTTACAGCACCAAGGCAGCTCCTAGGGAGAGGCGAGCTCTGACTCCACCCAGACCCATTCCCCAGGTTCCTCCTTCTTCCCTCCAGCGGATCATTAATCTCCCAGGACACACGCTGCACGCTAATTGCGCTCGTAATGGGAAATGAGTCAGAGAGAAGGGTCACCACCGTGGTGACATGAAGCTACCTTTTTATAGGCACATAGTTTTAATGGGAATGTGAGAAGGAATCACTGCCCTAAGGCAGCCTCTGGTTTGACTAGCTTGAAACAACCAAGGCTTCTCCCCATTTCAAATTGTAAATTAATTATAGCCTAAGCTTAGCATCTCAGTCAGCCTTCATTATCCATTCAGTTTGAAGGCCATTACGGACCACAGAGCATCCGGCTCCACCAGACAGTGGCACATCTGTACTCTCAACTCACGGAGTAAAGCTTGAGCTGCTATCTCATTCCCCTCAGTTAATAGCAAAATAAAGAGTGCCCCGGGGGAAGGAGACCTGTCAATGGTAAGATAGGCTCACATCCGGGCTGGCAGGGTCTTACTTTCCTCACAGAGCTGCAGGAGGAAGGGGCGCCCTCCCTGGGAGCTTTATTGGGGACTGCAGCTGAGCCTGAGCTCCAGGGCAATGTGGAGCAGTTCTGAGAAGTTGTCTCAGTTTCACAATTACTTCTTTGCCAGTATGCACAGAAAACTGGGGTGCTCTTATTTCTGCTTTATGAGACGCCTTGTTGTGAAAAGGATCTGGGATTCCAGGGATTGGAAAGCAAGTATTGTTGATGGGAACCAGGAGATTTGAGCTGTAGTCCTGTCCCCACTGCTCACTGACACCATCCTTGGATGAGTCACTCAATCTGTTAGTTTACTAATTCCTCAGAGGATGTAATTCTTCCTGCTTTGCCTGTATCTCAGGGTTGTTGTTGGAGTCTAATTAAATAATAGGTTAGTAAATAAGAATGCACTCTGTGAAGTACTGTCTTCCTTATTCTAAGCTGGAGTCCAGAGAGTTGGTTCCATTTTTAGGACAGGACAGAGCTGGCTTGCTCAGGGATTGAGAACAAAGCTACCTGGGTTCTTGGTCTGAAACTATATTCAAGAGCTAGAAAGACTGGTCATGGCTTTCCACCTATGGGACCTATGTTGTCTTAGAAGTGGAAGAAAAGGAGAGTCTTCCCTGCCTAGCTGTGAGAGCATAGGTAAGCCACCTAAGTAAGCGAGTTTACCAAGGAAGAGAGTGCAGTGAGAAAGAGAAGACAGTAGACTTGGGAGCAGGAAAGAAGAGAGATGGAAGCAAAGGACTGAAAGATAAGGGGCATCCAAGACTACATGGGGTTGGCTGTGTCCTCAAGCTGTGTCTGGAATCCCAATGCTTCTCACCTCTGCTGCCACCTTGCATAGTCATCGTCTGCAGAGGCTCCTGAGGGCTGTCCTGGCTCTCATCCCCAACATGTCCTACCATTTGTTTTTGACACAGAAGTCAGAGCAAGCAGCATTTAGACAGCCCAGCTCCTCTCAGAGCCCTCGGTAGCTCCTTATTCTACTCAGGGTAAAAGTCAAAGTATTGACAGAAGGCTGTGAGGTCATCCTCTCAGGACTTACCTTTTGCCACTCTCTCCCCTGCCACCCACCCAGTCATATGAGCTTCCAGGTTGATGCAGGCTGCTCCAGTTTGCTGCAGGCCATTCCAGGCTGCTTCAGGCTAGTCTAGGCTGTTCCAGGTTGTTCTAGACTGTTCCAGGCTTTTCTAGGTTGTTCCAGGCTGCTCCAGGCTGTTCTAGGTTGTTCTAGGCTGCTCCAGGCTGTTCTAGGTTGCTCCAGGTTGTTATAAGCTGTTCCAGGCTGCTTCAGGCTCTCCTAGGCTGCTCCAGCCTCTTCTAGACTGTTCCAGATTGTTCTAGGCTGTTCCATGCTGTTTTTAAGCTGCTCCTCAGTCAGTACCTTAGTCAGCAAACCAACTTTGCTTTTTCCCCCAAACCTCTGGTGATTCCCCAGGAATCATTCACATCTTTGTTCTGATGTCATTTTCACAATGAGTCTTCCCATGAAGACCACTGCGAACTCCCCAGCTCTCTACCTACCTATCAATTCCTCTTACTTGTCTTTCCCATAGCACTTAACACCATCTACAATGCCATATTTTTTATTCATTTGTTACATTTATTGTTTATTTTCTGTCAGATTCCTCCTCTCCTTACCCCTCCCAGTCCCTCACTCCCCCACCCTCATCCCTAGAATGGAAATTTTGTGAGGGCGGTGTTTTTTTTCTGTCTGTTTCTTTTCACTGATGTATCCCAGGGACCCAGAACACTGCCGGGCACATGTTAAGTATTTAATAAATATTTGTGCAGAGTGAATAATTTTGTGGAAAGTAAGGGTGGAGACTGTCTCAAGAAAGAGACGGAATTTAACAGTGTCCACACTTCCAAATGCTTCAGAGAGATCAAGGTGAGAGCTGAGATTAGATGGCCAACGTGCACCTTAAAATCTGCAATATCAGTAGCATATTTGAATGGAACGGATTGTGGGGATGATGAGATGAATAAATGGAAAAATGAATAAATGCAAGTGCAGGCAAGATAAATGTTGACAACTCATCTAGGAAATGCAAGAGCAAAGGACTGTGAGTAATTTGAATGCTAACGTCTCCAAGGAAGGGGGTGTTACTTATCCAGCATTGGTCTAGCAATGATTTAGGGAGCACTATCTTACAGGCCACAGCCCAGGGATGCCACCTAAGGTTTTTCTAGGTTAGCAAAGAGCACAGGCTTGGAACTCTTCATCACAACACACACTGTGCTATAAATGGTATGCTGTAGTAGAGCCATATTCATATTTATATTAAATGTTTTTAGGACATAGACCTCTTTAAGAACCTGATAAAGCGATCCGTTGTTTTCTCCTCAGATAAAAACATACAGGTGCTCATATATGAAATTCCACACAACATTTTAGGAATTCACAGATCCTTGAGGCCAGCAGGTGGATCCCTGGGGCTCTCTGTGGAAGGGATTTTCAAAAAAGTATTGGAAGAGGCAAATAAGTAGCAGGTCTGTCCTGGGGGAAGGAGGAAGCTTCTGGAGAAGGGGGCGGCTGAGCTGGGACTTGGAGGACAAGCAGAACTTGCTTTCTCGACTCCAGCGTGGGCAGGGCATGGCATAGCCCGCTGAGCCCA